GTTCTAGCAAGGCCTATGATTTTAGTATCCATCCCTTGCAGAAAAAGGACACCAAATACTTTCTCAGAAGTTATTTACATAAAAGATGGTTTACCTCCTCCATCACTAGCTTGACAGATTCACTTATGATACTCATCAACCTATCATCATCAACGCCACTATCTCGCAACTCTTGAACTGGCACATCACCAACATCGGTTAAGATGCGTGAATCATTTAATTCTTTTCCTGCATAATAGAAATAACTTGTTTAGATTTCAGATTTCGAATATCGGTGAGCTAAAAGGAATGTCAACATGTATAGTGAAAATTGCCGATAATAACATTCAAGAGGTTCAGCAAATTAGACTGAGTGTCTGGCTGTTCAAGCAATCAGATAGCACTTTTTGGTGCTACTTTATGGTGTGACTTCCTGGTGGTACTTGAACTTTTACTTGTCCAGAAGGATCCGTCAAATAGAGAAAATCTTCCAAACAACATTGATCAGTTGCTGAAAAGCTGATCAGTAGATGCAAGAGATGAATAGGAGGAACAAGGAAGACCGAATTACTCTAGATCAAGGGGTCATAGCAGAAAAGGGAACATGAAATAGTGATTGATTCCCTTCAGATTTTGAGCAAAACCGGAAGAGCGACCATAAGCTTCAAGCCACACATGGTTAAAACGATTTAGAACATCAAGTTTCTTCGTTAAGATTCAATTGTTTATTTTTCTTTTTCTCTCTTGGGTCCAACCAATAATCTTTGAAACTTCATTACAATTCACTATTCCTTTAGTATCATGTTCTATTGACACATAAAAGGAAATTAAACTGCTCTACTAAAAGGTAAGATCATTTCCGAGTTTTAATGGCATTGTAGTGCATTAGCCGAAAAATTGCTCAATCTAGGCTACTAAGCTTTACAAAAATGTAATATAGTATGCTAACCAGCAATGCAACATTTCTCTTAATCATAGAACATCCAAGCAACAGCAGAAAAGCGTCAGATATCCAAAATGAAAGTTAGCACCAAGACAACGGAATTTCTACAGCAATGAACTAAATACATAACCTCTACCTAGCAGCTTAAGGTTTTCGATGAGATGAATATTTATCAGGGTACAGCAGACATGGGTCTCGAATTCGAGTGTCACTATTGACCATCACAAAAATACTTACGTGCTTGGCACAATGAAAATTAGGCCCGACCATGATGGAGCTGCAATCTAAAATAAATAAATAGAAAATATCCATTTTTAACAGTTTAAATCTGTCGATGAGCCAGTTCACACACTTCAACAAAACCGACAACAGAGGAGGCCAAAACACCGAGGTATCTGGCAAATGAACCAAATAGACATGCGCAGCAGCTCGAGCTGGAGATAGAACGGCTACTAATAAATGCAGAGAAAAAGATTTACGAAGTGAATGATTCTGACCACTTATCTACTAATATAATTGAAAGCTACACTTCGCGTCAAGATAAAATTTTGGATAAAGGGGCTAGCCCGTTTGGCCAAGCTGCAAAAATCAGTTTATTTTGAGAAGTGCTTTTTTTCAAAAGTGTTTTTCTCAAAAGTACTTTTGGTGAGAAGCAGTTTGTGTTTGGCTAATTAGTTTGAAAAGCACTTCTGAGCAGCAATTAGTGTTTGGCCAAGCTTTAAAAAACTGCTTCTAAGTGTATTTTTCTCAAAAGTGCTTCTCAAAAAAGTGCTTTTTGGAGAGAAGCTACTTTTTTCTGCTTCTCCAAAATTGCTTCTGCTTCTCCTCAAAAGCACTTTTTTTCCTTCCAGAAGCTTGGCAAACACCTCAATTTTTGGCCAAAAGTGCTTTTGGCCAAAAAAAAGCACTTTTGGCCAAAAATAAGCTTGGCCAAACAGGCTATAGGTTGGCTGGTGTAACCACTGCTGAACTAAGGTTTTGGGTTCAAACACCTACATCTTCTTTACAATTTCCGACCCCGCCACCCCCTTCCCTCTCATGATTAAATTAAACAATTTCACAGTAGTGCATTCTTCCTTACACAACATGATGAAAGTGATTATTCACTTTCCAGACTTCTGTATAGTAATTACATGGAAATGCAGATGGTTCTGCAAATAATATGTATTGCACTCTTTAGTCACTACACATAGATTTTCAAAAATGACATGAGGAGAACCCCCCCCCCTCCCCCCGGGGGTAGGGGGTGGGGGATGGGATGTCTTTCACCATATATATCAAAATCTCAACTGCAACTAGATCTGATATTGGATAGAATGAGTATAAAGCTTAACCCAATATTTATTGAATATGGGATTGTGATTTGATGTTCCCCAAGGAAATTATAGTCTTTTGAAACTCATCTCGCACGAAGTAAATGATGTGAAGAATAATCGTTTTAACAGGTAGATACTTGATTTACCTTCCTCAGTCGTGGAGTTAGTGCTGCCACACCAAATGGCCTCTCGTATACGAGGAGGAGCAAATGCTGGCCCCTGGAGAAATGAAGAGTTATGTCCCAAAGGAACTCCAAGAAGAGACGTTGAGGCCACAGCACCTCCGAGAGCACGAATAAGCTCTCCCTGTAAGAATAAACTAAAAAGATCAGGAAGGGAATAAGGTCATTCATTCACGTCAACGGTCTTACAGAAAAATAACTCAATCGTCAAAGCAGAACCAACTTGTAGGTCAGTGCGAACGAGAAACAACAAGCCCTAAAGGGAGAGCTTGTAAGACAATGCAACAGAAGTAGCTGCTAGCTTCTTTCTCTCCTTCTCTCCTGGTACCCTATGTTCTATACTATCCTTAACCATGATAAGGAAATTGACCATTATCATATTAGGATACACCTTCCACTTTCCCATTGCATTTGTATGACTAGATTAAGTGATGATGTAGGGATACAGACCAAGCAGAAAGTTAACACTGCTTTTAAAATGGCAAACAATACAAAACCTAAAAATATCTCTGCTGCTGGCGAAATGTTGTCATGCATATCATTTCCAGTCATACATAAAACTTTTTTCTAATGATTATTATCATATGTAAAACTACTTTACATAATAACTCAATGCTGAATCTACAAACACCCACGCCATTAAGAACCACCAAGATAAACCAAAGAAAGCTTTTGCATGGGTGCTGTTAGGCCATTAGTTCAAAACCCTTGTACAAAAGGTTCTACTCACAACTAGTACTTACACAATTAGCTTGCTGTAGCCAAATACAAAAATACTAATGCATATCATATCACCATAGTTGCCCACTCAAAATTACATTCTTCCACATCCTACATTACCTTAAGCTTTGCTCTTTCACGAATAAGTGTAAGAGATGCTTCTATAACACGATTCTGTCCTTTTTCTACTAATTCTTTTGGAACATTCGCCGCGTTCAATTTCTGCATATAGTGGATTCCCATCCTTCCTGCACACTTCATATTTGCTAATTCTGGTTATCCTGCAAAGTCTGGTCAACATAGAAAAACAAAAAGACATACAACTTAATACAAAAATCTAAAGTTGCTAAACAGACAAGAACAAGACAACATAGAGAGAAACTAACAAAGCATGAAGTGACGCAACAAAATTCACCAGATCTATTATATGACCTATCTTCAACGGTTGGTCATGTTTATGAACAAACATCAACCACCAAATTGCTATGTTTTTCCTACTTAAATCCCCAAAAGAAGAGAGGACACTTAGAAAAGACCCTCCACAAGTCTGTTAAGATTTCAAGCCAACCATGGCATATCTACAGGAATAAGTCTGCTTTTTCAAGAAGAGCTTTTCAATTTTGCAATTGTTTCTGGTAAAAGGGTTTGTCGTCAATCAAATTGTGAACATACAGAAAGGCATAGTATAGTTAAGTCATGTCACCACCAAAAACAACTACATCTCACCCCTCAGTCCCAAAAGAGTTGGGGTCGGCTACATGAATCCTCACTGACCATATGTCTCCAGCTGAGCTCAACTCATGTCATCGTCATATTGAATAAAAATAAAAGCAATTAAATATACATAAATAATATTAAAGAGGTTGTGAGTTCGAATCTCCCCAAGAGGGGTTGCTCTGCTGGTAAGCAACCCCCACTTCCAACCGAGAGGTTGTGAGTTCGAGTCTCCCCAAGAGCAAGGTGGGAAGTTCTTGGAGGGAAGGATGTCGGGGGTCTATTTGGAAACAGTCTCTCTACCCTAGGGTAGGGGTAAGGTCTGCGTACATACTACCCTCCCCAGACCCCACTAAGTGGGATTATACTGGGTTGTTGTTGTTGTTGTTGTNCTCTACCCTAGGGTAGGGGTAAGGTCTGCGTACATACTACCCTCCCCAGACCCCACTAAGTGGAATTATACTGGGTTGTTGTTGTTGTTTATATTTTTAATAGCATAAAAATATATAAATCTACGATAAGGTCAAAATACTATTAGAAAAGCAATAGGTTCAAAATCAACTTACTAACATGACTAAAACCTATTTCCAACTATTCTCCACTAGTAGATATCTTTTTCTTCCATCAGATAGTGAAAAAATAGAAGGGAAGGAAAAACAAGCAAGGAAAAAAGAAAAAATCAAACTTTTTCCTTGACCGAAGATCCTCCAAAATAGGAATTTTTTACTCAAGCTAAACAGCCAAACCCATGTTCATATTCCCGTACAATTTCCAGTTCCTAGCTATTCTTTGGTTAATCAACCAAAAGTATAGCAATTTTCTTTAACTCCCATTATTTTTTATCTTTCTTGGAAGAGCTAAACTTCCTCTGTAAACGGAAATAGTACAACCCAACAACAGACGTACATACTTATAGATGAACAATGTTTAAAGAAGCACCAAATTCAAGAACCAAAGCTTACTTCTTGAATGGCAAGAAAAAGCAATATTTATTGGGAAGAAGGACGAAGAAGGCTTGGAAGGTGATATAGTAACAAAACAGCAAAGGTATCAAATTTGCAGATAACATATTTAAATAAGCACATAATTCAAGACAGAAAAAGCTTAATTGTTGAAGGGTAAAAGATTAACATAGTAGTAAGAAGGAAAAGAATAAGGTTCTAAATAGGGTATGAAGAGGAACAAAGCGAGAAAGTGATCATACCTGCAAGAAGCAGAGGCAAACAACAGGTCAAGAGAACCGAGAGTTGAATAGATCTAAGGGAGAAAGGGTTGTGGAAGGACAGAAGAGCGAAGGTGGAGAAGGGGCATGCAGTCCTTTTTGTAGTTGGTAATATTTGCTGCTTGCAGCAAATGGAGTGTGAAAAATGGAGTCTTGCCAATAATATTAGTGATCCAACTAGATTAGCGCACTTCGCACGTAATCACTGACTGCTAAACCCAATCCATCCCCTATCGCTAAACGGATTTGTCCGACCAACCTAATTAAATATTCTTGATACCCCTCCTGGCTCCTGCTTGATTTTAGATAGCACGAGACGAATGGATTTTTCATTTTATAGTCTGCTTCTTCAAAGTCAAAAATATATTTTTTAAAATCTTTTTTTTAAGTTAAAGTATTTGGTCCACTTTTATAAGGAAAAAGTATTTTTTAATATATGCATAAACAATTTTGGAGAAACAGAAAAAAGTAGTTTCTTTTCGAATGCATTTTTGAGAAAAATACACTTAGAAACACTTTTGGTTGTTCAGAAATAATTTTTAAATTAACTAGTCAAACACAAATTGTTGCTCACCGAAATTACTTTTAAGAAAAGCACTTATCAAAATAAACTGATTTTAAAAGCTTAGTTGAACATGTTATTAATCCAGTTACATACTAATACAGTATCCAAATACTTAATACAGTATTTTGAGAATTGAATTGATCATTGAGCAGAGATAGAGATGTTAATGATAATACAATTCCTTCAATCCGCCCAAACTTGGACAGGTTGAACCAAGTATTTTGACGAATTATTTTGAGCATAGCCAAGTTAATCTATCTAGATGCTCGGGTCAATCTGAATTGTATACGTAGCCCCAGTTGACTAATTATAAAACTTATTAAATTATAACCTATTGTTTAGTCTAAATTGATCCTCCACTTTAATTCAATAAAAAACAATCAAATTATAACCTAACTCATTCATGATTTCGATATTTTTTATTCAACTAATTGTAGTTAACTCGTCCATCATATGTTTGACTATTTGTCGTTGAGGAATAATTAGAGGGAAGTGAATGGAAATAAATTGAGTTACCCAAATTTGGCAGCTGACGACATCAGCTACTTTTTGGCCCGTTTCCCGTTGCATATCACACTCTTCTATGTGCCAATTCACAATCACGGACGCAATTGGGCGGCTGACACCATCTCATTGGCCAACCACACTAAACTTCTCTAACGTCATCATGGTTAAGGCCAGAGAGAAAAGTAAATGCAAAGTTCTAGCTCCATATTAAAATCTGTCCTCCATTTTTTTTTTGAAGAGAAAGGAAGTCGCTGGTAGGATTCTCATTTGGGAAAAGTACGCCAAACGTCAAATTTATCGTTTGTAAATATACTTTTCACAAATTTACTAGCCGTAGCTATATTTAAATTTTATAGCATATTTATAAAATAAAAATTAATTATTTTGAACTGAAATAAGAGAGTAACAAGCTCACGTAGCCTAGTTAATTAGAGCAGTCGTTTCGTTAGCGGAGATCTTAAGTTCGGCTTTCAGCAAGAGAATTTTATCTTTATGTATTTCTGTATTCGCCTTGGTTGTATTCGTTGCGCGAACGAATACAATAGACACATGCTATGTTCGTTGCATGTTTGAATACAAGTGATACAAGCTTGTAATAATTAAACAGTAGCTACAAATAATAATGAATAGTTACTAGACTCTAAACTATAATATTTTACGAAAAATCCTTTTCAATTTTCATGTCACCCACTGGGCCTACATCAGATCAATTGCAGGCCTGAGATTCACTATTGGACTGTTTGTATGGTTTAAACCCGAGCCCAGTGAAAGTAACCCGTTGACGCTCGGAGCAAGTGATCTAATATGGTAAAAATGGCGTGTAGTAGTCACTAAATAAGGGTGTATTTAATTTTTATCCACTATTTAAAATGCTTATCAAAAATAGCCACTACTAAGGGGAAAAAACACAATTACCCTTTCTCTATTTCTTGTATAATCCCAAAATCGACGAAAACCCTTATTTTCATTCGTTCAGAGTTAAGACGAGAGCGGTTCACGGTTCCGTGTTCTGCGCTTCTTCATCTTCCTCGCATGCAAACTGCAATCTCAGTTAAACTTTTGCTCATTCATCTTCTCTGTCATCTTTTGTCAATCGCGACTGGTAATATGTTTTTTTTATTCATTTTTGTTTTTCTTTATGTGTAAGTTGGTTCAATGTCGTGTGAAGTATGTGTGAAATTTCAAAAATTAGCATTATATGTTGATTCAGTGTAGTATATTTTGTGTGATTCTGTTTTTGATAAATTTTTAGTGTGTGAAATTTGAAATGTGTTTGTGGTTGATTCAATATATTTGATTATGTAGGTATATTTCATAAAAATAGTCGTAGAAATTCATAAGCTTACTGATTATGAATTTTCAGTTAACTGTGTTCATTAAATGTAAAGAAGAAACGACATTAAATTTTGTAGTTGGAATTCAAAGTTAAGGACTGATTGTCCTTAACTTTTGCACATGAAACTTGAAGTTAAGGACAAAGTGTCCTTAACTTTGGATGTTGAAAGTATATGTTAAGGACTGTATTTCCTTAACCTATGCACTTACAATTTAAAGTTAAGGACTGATTGTCCTTAACTTTTGCACATGAAACTTGAAGTTAAGGACTAAGTGTCCTTAACTTTGGAAGTTGAAAGTATAAGTTAAGGACTGTATTTCTTTAACGTTTGCACTTAAAATTTAAAGTTAAGGATTGTATATGCTTAACTTTTAAACTTGAAATTTTAAGCTAAGTCCTAATCTTTGTTTGTTTTTCCTTCTTTTCTAGTGTTATAATGGAAGGCGATCATTTGTTCGATTTTGACGATTGGCGTAATTTTCTGGTACATTGGAAAGGAGATTTTCAATATAAGGAAACAATTAAAAGTTTTTTGTCGAATAGACAATGGAAGAAATTGAGGGAAAGTATTTTTGGCAACTTCTTCAGATTACAAAGTGTGAAGTTC